TTCAATCCCTTTCAACCCTATAACATCAATCGACATTGTGTCTATATATATTTCATGTAGATATGTCAATTCCCAAATAGCACAGTAGCACTTGCAAAGCGCTAAAAAATCATTATGTGCGTTTTTTTAGCGCACTGTTAACGCTTTGTAAGCGCTTTATGCTATTTAGGTTTGTACAAAAAATTAGCAAATAATACATAAATAAATTTCTATTTCATTAAAATCAGATTGAAATATACGAAATGTAAAATATGTAAACATATCTAGCTATTGTAAACGTATGATATAATATAATATCTATTATGTTATTTTAGATATTACTACAAATTATATATTCGATATTTGTATCGAGAATGTTTCAAGCAGGGAAGAGTGGAAGAATTGAGAACATGGGATAAACATGGATAATACTTTGCATTAGAGTAGTGATAACCTCTCATTTCTCGTATTCAGTAATAATTCGATATATGCTTAGTGTCGTATTATAACATGTGATTATAGAACGCACATACACGCTATAAGATAAATATTATTTTCGATGATTTAATGTAGGGGAGAACGGGGTAATTTTGCGAATATCTTAGGGAAAATTTAAGTATAGCCGGCAATTATTTATTAATTATTGTAGAAATTTTATTGACTTTAAACTACAATAATTAACATTTGTATACTACATATTAATATAAACTGTATAAATTATATATATATATATATAAAGATTTTTATTAACTGATATTTGCTACTTTTATTCAACTTTTCCCTTAAATGTTCAATTCTCTCATATTTCTCCATTCAAATAATAAATTTGACGAATGCAAAATACATAAGATCTTATTTTGAAGTATCGATGCTTCAACTGCTATAGGTAATCAATTATCTAAAACGCAAATAAAAAACTAGAAAAACAAATTCGTTAGACTCAGAGTGTGATCCGATATACACTGCCAGTACTGGCAGTACTGAAAAATTATTCTGCTATTACTACGCAGCGCGCTGCGACAGCGTTCCCTCAATGACGTCATAAATGATAGCCATATTGCCACTGCGACTACTGCGGCTTTCGAGGTGAGGCAGTTACAATGCAATATGGCGCCGTTTAAAGAAGCACAACGTGTCGAAATAATCCAGAAAATAAAAAAATATATATATTATATTAACTGCAAAAGATGCACATATATTCATTTTATCGAAAATAACTTTTAAATTCCACATCTAAATATTCATTAACTGATGTGTCCATAGTTTTTAACACGAAGTCAAACTGCTTGAATTGGTAATTCCATAATTAGTTCATCTTCCTTGAAAAACTTATCGCTGTTGTTTCATTCAAAATTTATTGACAATTTAGTAGTTTATTCATATCTATTTACACTACTACAGCCATTCTGGCTGCGGCAATATACTGTTAAGATGTCATGATGATTGCAATAAAAAGGAAACACACTCTCAAATGACAGATCATAAATATAGGTGATTCCAACAATTTCCCATTGACGGTTACATTTGTAATTAATGATGTGCGCACATTTTTATGATTCTTTAATGAATTATATATATCTGAATTATATCTTTATATAAATTACTATCAAAGTAATTTAAATGTATCATAAATGTCATAACTGCAATATTTCTCTTTTTAATTATTTAAAAACGTCGAAATTCAATTACCTACGGCTAATGCATCGAAGTCGTATTGCTCAAAGATGCAGCAGAATTTATATTTAGTAGAAGAAAGAACATTGTTTTCTCTGAAATAAATTACTAAAAATTTTTCGACGAAAAGTACCTCAAGTACCTTGCTTTCGTTCTCCTAGATAACGAGTTTACTTTAAGACACTGAAGCTACCGAGATAAAATAGAGGAGCAATAATCCGCATTAAAGAGCTAAATCGATTGAGCCATCGACAATTGATTGGTGTCAAACTTTGCCAGAATTTCCGTAGGAAATCAGGGGGCGGTTTGAGAGAGAAGGCAGCATAGGAATAGGACGCCCCTTTTATAATCCTGGTATTTTTCCATAATAACACGTTTCCTCTTTCCTTCGTCTCCTAAGCGATTTGCGATTTGCAGCATCCAAAGTAGGCTACGTAGAAATCTGATCGCCGCGCGAAAAGAAGGGAGATTTTATTATATAAAAGTAATCACAATCGTAAAATAATATTTCGTTGCCATTACTCGCGGAATATCCTTATTTCTTTTTCAATACGAAATGAACTTCTCAAAGTAATGACAAATGAGTATTGACGTAGTCTAGTAAAAAAATTAATGAGAAGAATTAATGCACTATTTACATCATATAAATATACGAAAAGAATGGTTTTGCTGAAGTATCTAATTATAGATACAAATTTGAAAATAATTTTATTAAACCATTAAAATAATTATGACTTAAATGTTATTTATAATGTAACAGAAAATTTTAATATTCTAGCAATTAGTTTAGTGTAGTTTATATATATGTATGTCTTATGTAGTTTTATATATATATATATATATATGTATATATATTTTTATGTTATAAACAAAATTATCTTCAGATCTGTATCTAGCTAAATTTTTTAATATTTTAGATCGAATTTTAGAATATTTCTTTCTGTGTAATAATAAAAAAAACATTAAAATAACCTCTTAATATAGCAGACATCATTAACATTAACAGATTATCTATAACCAAGTCAAGAGTGATTTATTATATTCTTTCTATAAATTAAAATAAATTGATTCTAAACCAGTATTTTATTTCGACGCTTTAGACAACCGATCTCTAAGCTGACATTTTCGTTCCATCGTCTACACTCATCGCACAGTTCGTAAAAAAATAACACATCTTCGTCGAGCGATGTCTCGGATATTTAATTACTTCCTTTTACAAAAATTCCACATGCCGGCAAACGATCCGCAAATGCCGAATATTCGTATGTCAGCACGTACAAACGTGGTGAGATGACACTTGATGGTCACGTTATAATACAATTTACATCTGCAGCATACTCGTTGTACAATTTAAATAAAGCGCATCTTCGTGGACATGTCATGAATATAAAGTACTTCTTGAAAATCGGCATTGAAAATCTGCAGACTGCAGAGGAATATGTATTTTCGTTGAGACAATTCTTAAGATGAAAATCTACATGGTTACAAAATTCCGAACTTGTTCCACGACATGTAAATTTATGTCGCACTACGAAACGAAAATGATTTATACCGAATTATAGAATAAGAAAATTTAACGTGAATGACTTTTTTAAAACAGCCAGTTACTTCACAACTATTTTGCCAAAAAGAAACGTTCTCAATCTCTGTCAAGTAAGATATTATAAATTTTTATTCACCAATGCAAAATTGAGACTTATGTCTCAATTGAGACTATAAAAAATAAATCGCAATTAGTATTAATTTCTCATTAAAGGATAACTTATTAATATTTTTCTGTGATATTTTGCAACGTCGCATCTGTCGTGTTGCAATATGATAATAAATGCAGAATATAGCACCAATAAATATTTTAGGAAGACGCCGATAATATTTTCGGTTGCATGCAGGAATCAAATAATTTATATTCCGATTATATTGCGATTCGAATCGCAAGATGTGATCATTATCAAAATAGATAATATCTTAAATTT